AAGCCCCTGGTCTATAAAGCTCGCACTCCACGGCGGGCCGGCAAGAGAGAAGAGCGGCTGGGGACGCCGGCGATGAGAGGGCTCGGGGCCAAACGCGGAATGGTGAGACCGTTGCCCCTGGCAAAGGGGAGGCAGCGCAGAGGCCCTGACGGGGTGTGAGGCCATCTGAGGACAGCCCGGGCTGGGAGAGGGAAGCAGCGTGGGGAAGGCAAGGGCTCAGCGACAAGGCCTGAGGCCATTGGAAGACAGACAGCAAGAGGCTTTGCAGACGCTGATCTGGCCTGACTTTTACTCGAGAAGGGGCAGCTTGGGAGAGTTTCAGCAAAGCCAAGACGCCAGTCGGCTTCAGAGCACAAGTCTGACGTGTTGGTGGAGGACACGGAATGGGGGTCGGGGGGTGGAAAATGGCCTTGTGGACATCTCCTTTGCACGTGCTTTTAGAAGGATACGCGAAGGAAGAACAGCCAAGGTAAAGCAAGTTCTCCCCAAGTTAGACTTTATGTAAGGGCCTGCGTGTCCTGCAGCGCCCCGTGACACCGGCGCTGAATCATGTGGGCCTGGCATGCAGCCCCAAGCCGGAAGTCGTAAACAGCAGAAATCACATCCTGTCCTTGCCGGGAGAGCAAAAAAAAAAAACTTGAGCAGTTATGAAATAAGTTGCTTGAAATGAAAGGTAAAGGGGAGGGAGAAGAAACACGTATTCACAGACACTTATCCTGGAAAAGAGAAAGTGGAAGCATTTTTCATTTCTTTTCTATGCAGTAATTGGAAATGCATCACATCTTTTAAGCTTTTTTGTAAGGTCTCACTCCCTGCTGCAGAATTTGGGGGAACCCAGCCCGACGAGAAACAGGGCGTGTTCATGGCAGGAACACGGTGACCGTGAGGTCCCGGGAGGGAAACCCATGGGGCTTCGAATAACCACTCAGCCCCTGGCAGATGCAAGGAACTCGGCAGCGACTGGGGGTCCGGTGTCGGGCTGGCAGCAGGCGCTGCGTCCCAGGAAACGTGTCGCATGGAGAGCAGGCGTGGAGAGGAGGCTGCGCGGGACAGGGCTCAGCACCTGCAGTCCCAGCCAGGACTGCGGGCCCTTCAAGGCCTTGGGCCACACCTGCGAGCAGGTGGCCCAGCGCTCACACCTCATCTCTTCCAGTGCTTGTTCCCTCAGACACGCCTTGTTCTCAGCTTGTCTAGTCTTGGAACGTGAAAACCAAGCCCCAGACAAGTTGGACACTGGGCCAAGCCGCGGTCCTCCACAGCCAGGCCTCAGCGACCCCCCAAGCTCCTCCCGCCCCTCCCTGCCCGGCCTCCAGAGATGCTGGCTGCTCTAGGTTCCTGTGTGAGCTGCTCTGGGCCTCGCGCCTACCTCACTCCGGCACTTTTGCTCCCTGGAGCACCCTCTCTCCTGCACCCCTCGTCACAGCTCTGGGCTCACACACCTTTTTGCTTTGCTGACTCCTTTTCTGGCTTCAAGATTTATCTCAGTGCCCCCTCCTCCAGGGAGCCTAGGCAAATCCCTACGCAAAAGCAAGTGCTTCTCCCCTGCTTCTCAAAGCCTCCAGGTTTATGTTCATCATCGTGCTAAGGCTTTCCTCAAAGGACAGGAGCTCTGAATTGAATGTGTCTGCCTCCCCAATGCTCCCTGCTGAGCATATTCACATTGGGCCCTGTCAGGCACTGAGAGCTTGCCTAGCTACGCTCTCCGCTCTCCGACGGTGGGCTGGCAGGCAGAGGGATCCCCATCCTAAAGCGGGCAATGATGCTGCAGCCCCCAGAACACTGCACAGGGAAAGGAGAATGGTCAGAGGAGGCCTGAGGAGACTGGAGGGAGACAAAGCAACAGGTAAGTCAGGAGGGTGGAGGCGCTTCTGGAAACTTCCTGGGAGAAAGACTTCCTCTTGCAGGAGATTATCGTCCTGCTCTTTGTCAACTCACTTCCCCTGTCTCCAGCACCCAGGCCTACCTGTCCTTCCAGGTCCCACTTAAATGTCTTTTTTTTTCCTTAAGGTGTATTTATTTATGTACACAAGAACTGGGGTGTAAGCCAGAGGTGTGGAGGGGTGAAGGGATTCACCAGAGAGCAGGGAGCAGAACACCTGGTGGTACAAGGGTTAAAGACAGTGCTATCAAGCTATTGCCAGCCACTGCAAGCATGAGTTGGATCCCTCGGCTGGCCAGAGAGCTGGCCATCTCTTACAGGAAGCCCTCTGTGATTGCCAGCTTCCCTCACTCACCCAAGATGAGAAGAAATCGCCCCTCCACTGAACTCCCATAGCTTTTGCTTATAGCTAACAAGAATATTTGTCTGTCTATTTGGTTACCAAGCTGTTTATGTGCACCTCTTTATCTAGACATTGTCTAGATAATGTCTTTGAAAGTAGAATCCAATTCTTACTCTAAAATTGCCTAAACGTGATTATGTACTTAATACACATTTGTTCATTCAATCATCATTTGTTAAACATCTACATATGCCACGCCCAGTGACCTTGAAATTTCAAGAGAACAAGGCAGGCTGCTGCCCTTAGACTTCAAAGACTAAGAAGCAGGCTCTAGGTGGGTAGGTGAACAGCAAATTGCAATCAACACCCTCCCTGCAGGAAACCTAACTCAACAAGCTTCTCCTTTGAATTACTGAGGATAAATCCATCATCACACGTCAAGGAAAACACTGCAGGTACAGAACAATTTTACCTTGAGCCTAAGTCAATAAGGAAACGTACAGCCATAAGCCTGCATCTGGGCCAAGATCCTTGATGGCCACAGACTCTCAGCCCGCTCCCCATGGGATCAAAACACGCCTGTTCCTTCAACACAACAAAAAGATGTTAAGATGGCTTCTTCCCTGAGCCTGCCCTTGTCCTGGGCTGGCCACCCCTGGGCCTGGCCACTGGGCCTGGTGACTCAGAACAGGCACAGCTTCCTCGATTCTTTCCCTAGGTAGCTGTCTCGCTTCCTCTTGGCCTTGAACTTGACCTTGACCTTGACCACCCACCAAGACAGTCTAGACAGGCCTTATTCTCAAGTCTTCCAGTCACCGACTCCAAGGCCTAGGTCCCAGCAGTAGCCCTAGCCAAGCTCCCACAGCAGAGCAGTACTAAAGAAGTCCCTCTTGCTGTAGCCTCCTGGGTTTACAAACAATGGAGGGAGATTAGAAGTGTTGGCAAGAATTTGGTGGAACTAGAGCGGAGGGCCTGGGGCCTATGCAAATGAGGTGCTTGGGAGCCAGGAGCCTGAGTCAAACCCAGGGTGAGGTTGCCAAGAGCTTGGAGCTTGATGAACCAAATAAGTGAGTTACCACCACAGCTGGGTCATTCCGGTGTGAGAAGTGATTTCACCATACCTCAAGGGAAAGCTTTTGGGGTGGGGGGTGTTTGCTGCGGGGCTGCCTGCGGCTCTCAGGGTCTGGTAAGGCAGTAAGGCAGCCTCTCTCCACAGCCCCCTGATCACAGAGAAAACTGGCCAGATTCCCGCGCTCTGGATCTGTCAGAGGGTGTTCCCCGCTATCTCAGAACTGGATTCATCCCCCAAATAATCCCTTTTGACTACCCAGCCAGCTACCAGCCTCTAGATCACAGCCAGAATCCACTCGCCCGGGCATGAACACTTGCCCCTTTTACGTAAAACAAATCTTCTTAAATCAATAAAAAGTTGCAGCGGTCTAGCCACTTGCCTACAAATGCAAACACGTTTATCCTAGGTGCGCGTGCACGATAGAACCACGACTGCTGTGTGATTACATGAAACTGAAGCGCCCCGACCTCCATGCACCCCTGAATGGCTACCCCCACACTCCCTTTCCTCCGAGGACATAAGCTATTCGTTAACCTGCCAGCACCCCCAGCCCCAACCCCACGGGCCAAGGCCCCCACTCCTGGCCTCTCAGGGTGGCTCTTCCCAGCCTGACTCATCCTAGTGGCGGCCTTGAGAAGCCCCTTCCACCCCTTGACTCCTCCCTACCCAGAAACTCGGCCAAGGTTGCATTTTCCCAGGGGGAGGGTGCAGAGGTGGGGAGAAGTCAAAGCCACCTGACTGCTTGCCAAGACTCTGATGCACCAGAGGGGGAGCCCCAAGAACATGAGGAGATTAGGTGGGGCTTGCAGAGGACCCAGCTGGGAGCAGCGGGGGCCACCAGGCCCGTCCCTGCTCTGCCCTGTAGGCCAAGCCTGCCTCCGGTTGTGCAAAAGATGTCCCTGGGGCAGGAATGGCTTTGTGGTCCACCATGCAATCCGGCCTGCTGGGCAGGGCGCTGGAGGGGTGCAGTCTGCCAGTCAAGGGGGGAGGCACCCATTGGGGGGCGCAGGGAGTGCATCCTCAGCAGGAGGAACTGAGGTCAGCTGCAGGTGTGTGACCTCTGGAGAAGGCAAGGCCATGCTGCTCCGGGTGTCTCGGGATCAGGCCAGTGAAGAAACAGGCTGTCCAGTCAGGCTGTCCCCCACCTCTGAGTGTCCTCTCCACTATGCAGCTCAGAATCCCCAGGGCCGCAGGTCTGCCTCACCTGCCCACACCCCACCCGCAAGGACAGCCACCAGGCAGAACCCAGACTTCATCACCCAGGGAGGGGAGACACCGCATACCCCACCCCACAATCACCCCGAGGCGATTCTTAGAAGCTCCTGAGAGCCTGATTGTCCAGAGGCACTTCGCCCCCTGTGTAGAGTAAAAACAGGGACCGTGAGGAGAAGCCCAGAGGCCCCAGGACCTGGTGCTCTGTATTCGTGGAGACCCCGACCGCCTCTCCCACTCCCGCACGGCCCCTCCCCTCCAGCTTCAGCACGGAGACACCGCAGGCTGCTGGTGTTCTGGGCCTGGACCCCCTGTCTGTCAACAGCTTCCAGCCCTACACACTGCTTCTCCCTCAATAATCCAGGCAACTCAGGAGAGTCCTGAGAAATTAGCTCCGGACACAACCCGGGTCGGGTCTCCTTTGCTTCCACCTGAGTGCGGGGACTTCTCCCCCAGGGAACAAAGACAGCTGCTCACATGAATGACAAAGCGGTTTATTGAAGAAAATGGACAGGAGTGAGGACAGCTGAGCGCACCCAGTGGCCCCTGCCCTGCTCTGCAGGACGCTGCCAGGGGGCGGAGAATGTTTGGTCCTGATGGAGCGGGGCGGCCAGGGCCTGGCAGGAGACAGCGCTGGGCTGAGATGACCACTCTGGAGATGAAGCTCCTGCCCGTAGCCTCTCAGTCCAGGGTGGGGGGGGGCACCCCGCAGCTGGTCTCCAGGCCCAAACTGAGAAGCTACCAAACTCCAAGAGGGCAGAGTCCATGCCCTGGCAGAAAAGACCATCCTGGGAGCAGAGTCCAGGGGGCATGCAGGTGACATGGTAAGATGAGCCCCAGAGAGGGGCAGAGGAGGGTGAAGAAGGCACAGAGAACCAGGGCTGGACCGGCGGGGCCCAGAGGGCTGCAGGGAGCTGTCTCCTCTACCGGCAGGATCTCTTGCTCATGGTGGTGGAACAGATGACCTTCCCCGAGCTGCCGCAGACGCCGCCGCCGAAGCCGAAGCCGCTGCCAGAGCCACCGCCGAAGCCACTGCCCAGGCCGAACCCGGAGCAGCTTCCAAATCCCCCGCCCACGCCTCCAGCGCTGGCACCACCGCCTACCATGGCTGGGGAGACAAGGGGGCCAGGGTGAACCCTGAGTGGGCGTCTCCACCCAAGGGGGGCGGGGTCCGCGGTGGGGGCGGGGTACTTACAGATGTTCACGGTGCTCTGGCACTCTCCAGACATTCTGGGGGAGAGAAAGCCGTGAGCCAGGATTCATTTGCTAGGTCTGTGCCAGGCACATAGGCCCCGCCCCCCCTCCCCCAGACAGCCCGATGGACGGCCGCAGTGACGCTGACGTCCACATAGCCTCGTGCCAGCCCCGCACAGGGGCAAGGGCCAGCGGAGACAGGCGCAAGCCCCAGCCCTGACCCCTCCGCTCGTCCCAGCCCTGCGCCCACCTGCACTCCTCGCCCTCCAGCAGCTTCCTGTAGGTGGCGATCTCCACGTCCAGGGCCAGCTTCACGCTCATCAGCTCCTGGTAGTCGCGCAGCATCCGGGCCAGCTCCTCCTTGGCCTTCTGCAGGACAACCTGAAGCTCCTGGAGCTTGGTGTTGGCGTCCTTGAGGGCCAGCTCCCCGCGCTGCTCGGCATCGGCGACGGACGCCTGCAGAGTCTGGCACTGTAGACAAGGGCAGGGCCAGGCGGCCATCAGTGTCCCGCTGTCGGGGCCTCTCCGCCTGGGCCTCCCTGGGCCAGCAGGACTCTGTCATCCTTCTCTCCACCGACCTTGACTCGGGCATTTCATTCGCGCCACCCAGGGCCTCCAACTCCCCACCTGCTCCCCCAGCTGGTTAGACGAAGATAAACAAAGCCCAAACGAAAGAGCCCAGAAACCATTCAATGGGGTGTGATGTCATGCCAACCAGAATATTTCTGAAAAGGTGGGGGCTGATTATAAAGGGCTCCCAGACCCCTGCAGACAAGTTCAAGGTCTTCTGGCCCGAGGCCTTACCTGTGTGTGCCCGATGGCCCAGGCCCTGGCCCGGTCCTACAGCTAGAAGGAGCGAGACCCACCTGCTTCTTGACATTCTCGATCTCGGCCCGCAGCCTCTGGATCATCCTGTTGAGCTCCATGATCTCGGCCTTGGTGGTCTTCAGGCTGTCACCGTGTTGGTCAACTGAAGTCTGGAGCTGCTGGACCTAGTGCCCAGGGAGAGACCACGTTTGGGTCGGTTCCATCCTCAATGACAGTCGCAGGAGTGGGGGATAATACAGAGGGTCATGGACTCTCATGGGAGACCAGGATGGGTAATGCCTGGGGTCAGTACATCGCTGGCTTCTCTTGACCTCAAGCTGATGATATCAAAGTCAGAGCCCCAGAAGTCTCCCAGAATCCGGAGAGAGCCCCAACACCCACCTTGGTCTGGTACAGCGCCTCGGCCTCGGCCTTGCTCCTCTGGGCGATGTCCTCGTACTGGGCGCGGACCTCGGCGATGATGCTGTCCAGGTCCAGGCAGCGGTTGTTGTCCATGGAGAGCACCACGGACGTGTCGCTGACGTGGGACTGCATCTGGCACAGCTCCTGCAGGGACACGTCTCGCATCAGGCCCCTGCAGTGTCCCCAGAGCCCTGACACTGGGCCCGCATGGAGGCATTCCCGAGGCGTGAGGAGCAGGAAAGGGGTAAGCTTCCACGCTGAGATCAAGTGGTTGATGACATCGAAGACAGAAAGCCACGCTGCTCTGCTGCCCCAGGAACCACAAGCTGTGCCACGCCTCTGGGCACTGGGTAGAAGGCGCCCCAGGGAAAAGACTCATGGCACCAGAACAGCTATAAACTCCATCCCAGGCCACCTGAGAGCGAATCATCGCTTCCGCGGAGACACCAGGCCTCGTGAACCTCCCCGTTGACTCATTCCGACCCTTTCTAGTTGTGACCTTGCTGGGGTCACCCTGACCTGAGGTGGGGATCTGGGGTCCTTTCAAAGAACTGTGACTTCCAGCCAGCAGCCTCAGAGACAGGGGAGTCCCACCCCTGAACAGAGGGGCTGAGTCCTCACCGCAGCATAGAGCGCCCTCAGGAAGTTGATCTCGTCGTTCAGGGCGTCCACCTTGGCCTCCAGCTCCACCTTGATCATGTAGGCAGCGTCCACGTCCTGGGGAGGAGGGCGGGTAAGAGATGAGGTTCGGGACACCGACGGCACCTGAGGTGCTGTGTGCGGAGTTGGGGAGGCCTCTCCGCCCAGGTGGGGTCACCTGACATGTTCTGCCCCTAAAGCCACCTGCAGACATCAGTCAGTTATCCAGGTAGGCTTCCTCCCACTGCTGGTTCCTGGGAGCCTGGTTCAGTCAGAGCTGGCCAGACCCAGGCAGGTGGGAAGTGACGCAGGGTGGACCAAACCCACGAGGCAAGTCGAAGGCCAGCCCCCGAGGAGGGCGCCCTCACTGCACCCCCGACCCTCCTGCATCACTCACCTTCTTGAGGACCACAAAGTCATTCTCGGCAGCTGTGCGTTTGTTGATCTCTTCTTCGTACCTGCAGGTGGGGACAGAGGGAAAGACCAGGCCCGCAGTGAGCAAGTCGCAGGCCCCGTGGCTGCTGGCCTCCAAACATCTGGCTCTGGAGCTGTCCGCTAGTGGCATCACTGTCTCGTGTTCATGCAGGTAATCATTCAGCCTAAGTCTAGACCCAGAATATCCAAACGGTGGAAACACAATTTAAGAAGACTGTTCAAAGGCTGAGTGGAGTGGACAGCTGGCCATCGTCTGATATTTCTGTAGAAGGCCGTTCTTCTGGTCATTTGGCCGATTCAGCTCTCAGGAATATTACTGGCGCCCAGCCCTTTCTATGTGATGGAAAGTGAGTGGACAGAAGGGGGCTGGTGTTTTTCAGCTCCCTCCCTCCTTGAGCATAACTGTTGCCCGGTGGACTGTCCACCCCATGGCCAGTGCTACGCCACGCTGGGCCCTGCTTCCTCCACCTCATTTAATACCATTTAATTTTCTAGCCCTATAAGGTAGGGCCATTGTCCCCAGTTTAAAGATGAAGGTAAGTGAAGTTCAAAAATACTTTCCACCTCTTTGATTTCTGACCGTGTTGGTATATGGCAAGCTCAGCTCCCTGAATCGATCACTCGTTTTCCATTCGGGGCAATTTAGGGTGAGTATGCCTCACTCCGTTAAAAGGGAACCAGACTGGGGCCTCCCAACCCTCTGCAGTCTCTTCGGGACCGCCTTGAGAGGCCCAGGGAGCCTGGGACGTGACCAAGCAGGCTGTCCAGGTGACACCCCTCGCCCCGCCCCGGCCCACCCCGCCTACTTGATCTTGAAGTCCTCCACGCTGTCCTGCATGACCTTCAGCTCAGACTGCAGGCGCCCTTTCTCATTGACCAAGGAGTCCAGCTGCTTCCTCAGAGCACTGATATACGCCTCAAAGAAGGGATCGAGGTTTTTGGTGGACGTGGTGGTTGTCTGCTGCTGGAGGAGGCTCCATTTCGTCTCCAGGACCTTATTCTGCTGCTCCAAGAACCGCACCTGTTTTTAAAAGACATGAGTCAACTGATAAGCACCTGAAACGCTGGCAGGAGGGCTGACCCAGTCAGCCCCAGACAACCTGGTAGCCCAGGGGCAACCCCAGAGGGCCCCCATGTTACACCTGCAGGTGCCACCACTGGGGTCAGCTTGGGGGTTACTCCTGAGCCCGTGGCCATGAGGGAGGCCACAGAGCAGCAGAGCCTGGCTGTGCAGCAAGAACAACTTCCTGGCCACAGGTACCCAGAGCCCTGGGGTGGGCCACTGAGAACACTGAACTTCTATGAAATGATAAGACAAAATTAGGGGCTACAACCAAACCAGCTTGGGGGTCACTGGATGTGAAAATTAGGGGCTACAACCAAACCAGCTTGGGGGTCACTGGATGTGAAAATTAGGGCCTACAACCAAACCAGCTTGGGGGTCACTGGATGTGAAAATTAGGGGCTACAACCAAACCAGCTTGGGGGTCACTGGATGTGAAAATTAGGGGCTACAACCAAACCAGCTTGGGGGTCACTGGATGTGGGGGTCACTTTGAATTCGAAGTGCCCCTTACCCAAAGCAAAGGGATGATGAATTTGCTGAAGGTGCTTCAAGTAAGCTGACTTCTAAGTGGACCGGGTATGTCCTGTGAACCCATGTGCCTGGTTCAGCTGTTAGATGAAGGCCCTGGACATATTCTGAGCCTTGGGTCCATTCCACCCTGCAGGGGGACCTCCCAGGATACCCCCATCTCCAGGGACAGGCCTGGCGGGCTGATGGAGACAGCAGCTCAGCGCGCCCCCTCCTTTGTGTGCCCCAGAATGGGAAGGAAGGCTGGCGAGGGCCACAGGTCACCCTCGAACCCAAGAGGTGAGAGAAGACAAGGAAGCGCCGAACTCTGGCTCTTGCTTTGATAGCCAGCTGCCCCAGGGCCACAGCAAAGCCTCGCTACGCTGCGTGAGCAATTCCAATGAAGGGGCACACGCAGGGCCGCTCAGCCCGCTCCGAGGCTGGTCACGCTCTCCTGGGGCGTCTGCGAGAAGTCAGACTTCGCTGCATGGAGCATCCGGGGCTCCTTGACCAAATGTGCCAAGTCACCCTTTCCGGCACCACTCTGATGACTCAGCTGGCTGGCTGCTTGCTCTCCCCATCAGACCACGCTGTGATTGCACTTGTGGGATTAAATCTCTAGCTCGTGCTTGGAAAAGGAAGTGGGACTATACACAGAAAAACCAAGGCCCACCCCGTCCTCTTCCAACAGATCCAGCAATGAGCGGTTTTGCCCAGAGTGAGGAGGATGAAGAGGGTGCTCGCTGGTGCTTTGAGCCCTAGAAGCTACGCTGGAGCAGGGCCCGGTCTCTTGGAAAGCCAGCTGGTTTCTTCTGCTCTGACAGCAAGAGTGCCAATCGTTCAATTAACAACTCACTAAGTATTACCAATCAGCCGTGTTGTTTCTGAAATAGGAATCTGAGGAGATTCCCCTTGATAGCTGGGCTGGCCAGACCCGGGGGCAACGTGTTGCCTGGCATCACCAGCACGTCCAGAAACGTCACTGAAAGGAACGCGCATCTGTCCACCGGCGTGGGGCAAGGAGAGGCTCGGTCATGCAGAACACTCGGGGGTTTTGCCAGCACCCCGGCAGGCTCAGACCTGACACCCCTGGACTCAGGCCCCCCGGCTTGTCCCGCCTGGCCTGGCCGAGGGGGCCTCTCACCTTGTCGATGAAGGAGGCGAACTTGTTGTTGAGGGTCTTGATCTGCTCGCGCTCCTCGGTGCGCACCCGCTGGATCTCAGGGTCAATCTCCACATGGAGAGGGGTCAGCAGACTCTGGTTGATGGTAACTTCCTGAATGCCCCCAGGAGGGCAGACGAGCCCCCCCCTGCCGTTGAAGGAGCCCCCGAATCCGCCACCAAAGCCGCCAGAACCGAAGCCAGAGCCGAAGCCAGCGCCGAAGCCGCCAGACCCCAAACCGCCGGCAGCCCCAAAGCCGGAGCCCTGCCGGCACACGGCCATGCTCATGGAGATGCTCTTGTTGCCGCCGAGGTTGTACAGGCTCCTGCTGCCAAAGCCCCCAGAGGAGCAGCGGCCCGCACTGCCAGACATGGAGAGGGAGCTGAAGCCAGACTTCCTGCCCCCTCCGACGACGGCAGAGCCACAGCTGAAGCCTCGCACACCCTGCTGTCTGGCGATCATGGCTGAGGGAAGAGCGGAGCGGGGCTGTCAGAGAGAAGCGAGAGGTGCCAGGCCAGTGAGTGCCGAAGCCCGAGCCCAGGTCCCTTATATGTGCTGGAGGAGCAGGGCTTGGTTGCAGGGGCATAAAGGGAAAAATCTGAAACATCCCTGGGCTGGGCCTTTGGCACGGGCCCATCCCCTCCACCTGCTGAGCATGTCACCTCACACACCTACAGAAGTCAGTCAGAGGGCACCGGTTACCGGATCTCCACGCTGCCGTGCAGCGGAGGCTGAACCAGCGCCCCAGGGCTTTCCGGTCCAGCGGCGCAGGCCGGCTGGCCTCAGGTCCCCCACCCACTGCACCTCCAAACTCACAGCCTCCCAGTGACATCCCCACACCAAAGATGCCAGCTCATCCCTCCCAGAACTTGGAACCTGAAGACCAGCGTTCAGGGGCACCGCTCGGCGAAGCCTGAGCCAGTCCCTCTGCGAGGCAGTCTCGTCCCCTGGAAACCGGACCGGATCAGAGCATTGGCAGGGATGTTGCCACTAAACAAACGCGGAGTGACCTGTCAGCTCAGTGCGGGTCCTGCCACCCTCCCCCCACGCGGGAACCTGCCCCACATACGCAGAGGGCGCATCCCTCTCCGGCCTCCCACCCTCACCCAAGAGGCCCCGACCTGACGCAGCTACTGCGAACCTACTGTGCGCCGGGATGGCACTGGGGGCCGAGTGGCCAGAGGTGACAAGGAGGTGACTCATCACTGGCCCACAAAACCCCCCCTCTGACGGCCCTCGGGACTCACAGTCCTCCACCCTTGTCCAGGGCTGCAGAGGGATTCCGGTCAGCGTCCTGCAGGCCAGTCCCGTGGCTGCCCCCTGTGCTGCCCAGCTTGCTGGCCTCTCCTGGATGCGGTAGCCTCTGTTTTTCCACGCTGCGCCCAGAATTCAGGGCAGGGGATCATCACCATTTGGGGGCTGAAGCCCCTGGAGCAGAATTGTGACACCCAGGAGCAGTTTTCAGGTGCAAAATCCTAGTGATAAGCTCAACTTGAAATTCGCATCCTCAGAGGGCGCAGATCTTGTCCGCAACCCACATGTTGCTGCCTCTGGGCGGTGGCCTTCCCTCTCTGAGGCCACTCACCCACCGTCTCCCCTGCAAAGTGGGACACCTGGCTCCGAGGAGCCCCACTCTGGGCACTGGTATTACTCCCAATGCCTCCCACCGAGATCTGCCACCCGTAAGAGAAATTAGGAAATTCTGCACCCCGCAGCTCTCAGCCCCATGAGATGGAGACTCTAAATCTGAGAGAGAGCAGTGACAGGCTCCGGGTAGTTCCCACAGCCGGAGCTGACAGTGGCCAAATGAACACTGGCCGCGGGGAAAATGACCGGCTCCCTCCGAGAGAGGGCAGGCCCACGGTGTGGGAGAGGTCCATCTCCACCCCTTGCCTGGGTGTCCACCCCTTAGCTCTACCACCATCTACCTCAGCCTTTGCTGAGCCTTCCTGCATCTGCCCAGGAGGCCTCTAAGTAAGTGCGGGAGTTGGGGAGGCCCTGGGCGCCGTGTAAGGTCCCCAGACAGAGCCCGAGGATGGGCCCACGCGCCCTCAACCAGTGAATATTCCAGCTCCTCTAGGACCCGGAGATGCACATTCACCCTTCCCGAGAGTGTCTGTGGAGGGCCAGGCTTGTGCCAGGCATCACACGTGCTGCAGATACGTGTTGTCACTTAGTCTGCCTAAGCGCTCTGTGCAGCTGCTATCAGAGCCAGGCTCACAGCTGACGGCTGGGTGCTCGAGGAGGTAAAGGTGTTACAGCAGCACGTGGGGGCTGGGGTGAAGCCCACGTCATCTGCTCTGGTCTCCCTGGCTTCTCGCCTGTACCATCCTGCCAGGCATGAAGCCAGCTTGTCTAGTCTGTTCAGCAGCCAGGGCAGAGTTGGGCATCTGAACAAACCAGTGGTCTAGGTCAAGGGGACTCTGGGGACACCAGCCTCCCAGGGTCTAGCGACGCCCACCCTGACAGGCAGAGTAGGCAGTTAGAAGGCAGCAGGCGCTAGCCCGGTACCTGGGGCTGCAGCACAGAAGCTGAAGGGCCCCAGGGACCCCCCCTGGGGGCTGAGGTCTGATTGTCGGAGATGGGAGACTTGGCAGGGTCACAGCCTGAGAGGGGGCCTGGCACTCGGGCCTCAGCTACTCCACCTGGGTCTTTGCACCTCCCATCACAGCTCCTGTCTCCCTGGCACCCCAAGGGGGAGGCAGAGGGAGTGTGACCAGGATTTAACCCTTTAGCCAGCTAGGAGGTGGGCTTGCGTCCATACGGGTGAAGCCCCAAGGTGGCTGTGACTCCTGTGTCTTGTAGGCCTGTGCCCTTCTGGAACTAGGAAAGTGGTTATAGCTACAATTATGTCCACTTTTGTCCAGCAAACCAGGTAGGAGGGATTTTCTGGAAGAAAGCATACAGTGGAGTCTTGGTCAACATAGGGGTTAGAGCTGAAAATCCAGACATAACTTTTATCTCCCAAAAGCTTAACTATTTAACTGCTAATATCCTGCTAGTGACAAGACCTCTGCTGATAACAAAACAGTCAATGAGCACATACTTGGCATGTTCTTTGTGTTATATACTGTATTCACACAATAAAGGAAGCTAGAGCAAAGAAAGCGTTATTAAGGAAATCATAAGAAAAGGAAAATGCATTTCTAGCCCTGAACCGTATTGATTGAGACTGTAAGTCCCTGTCTCTTTACAAGATAAATCGCCGTCGGCAGACACATCTCTGTGTTTTATAGGTGACAAACATTGTCGACCTTATGCCACTTACTACTGCTGGGAAGATAGAATTGGGTCGGAGCGGAATTGTCCTCCTGCCAATGGATGGCCTCGCTCCAGCCTGTGTCATTCAAGGGTCAACTGTATAGTGTGGGATCAATTTTGTGCCTGTAGCACGCACCACTGAGGTACTTCTCGTGAAGATGACTAGAAATTGAGCCAGACGCCATCCCTGAGACAGAAAGTAAGATGCAGGGAGACCGCAGAGCTTTAGGGGAGACTGGATGGTCATTTCCAGCCGCTGCTAAGTCCCAACACAGTGCTGACTTATAACACTCCTCAGCACAGCTCTGCAAAAGAGGAGTGACTGTGTCGGTCTAGAAGTGCAGGCCTGGAGGCTGAGAGAGGTCGTGTGACCTGCCTGCAATCACACAGCTGGCCATGGAGAGGAGAGACCAGTCCTTCTGCCTGACCTCAAAGCTTTGACCTTGACCCTGAAACACCTGCTTTGCAGCAGTGACTCTGCCCGGCACACAACTACGGAAAGCATATGGTGACTAGCCCAGGCCCTGTCTTCTGGCCCGTAGCACAGCCAGGGGGCTGGGGCCCAAGCTGCATGCTCTTGGCTCCTTCTGCCCTTGTTTTGTCACATGCTCGGTTCTTTGGTTTCTGTGACCCTGGCCTGACAAGTTCCCTGGAAGGCCTGACCCTGTCCAGAGGGGCCACTTCTCTATCCACAATTAGCTAAATCCAAGTTAACTGCAGCATAAATTCTACAATAAACCCACACCCAATAGGAAGAAATTTCTACACCAGTGCCATACCCTGAAGCTGCCTTATTAAGTCAGAAGAGCACAGTTTACAAAATCCTCAAACTGCAGCGTGAAAAATTCAAGGTAGACATAAGGAAGAACTTCTCATGCCAGATAGCGTGTTTTTTGTTTGTTTGTTTGTTTGCCTAGAGTGAGAGAGTCATAAAGAAGAGTCTCTTTCCCTTACAATGGGAAAGAGGCCTCCTGCCTACCTGGGCCAGCGACAGGGTGGACTCTACCCGGACAAGGTGACTCTATTGGGTCACCTGGCAGTCACAGCTCAAAGATAGTCCTCACCCCACCCCACCCCCACAGCTTTGCTATTGTCTTCTGTGACCCTTCCTCACCTGGCAGCTGTTCAAGATCTTGTCAAAAGAGGGATGAGCCTTTGACAGGGGTGTGGAGCAGGGCAGGACCGTGTGTTTGCTCAGGGCTTTCTGGGTGAAGGAGACAAGTGCTCGCATTCAGCCCTGGGATTATAGGGATCCCCAGGTTGCATTCACGCTAGGCCCCAAATCTGGTGTGTGTGTGTGGGAAAGCACCCCGCCCTCCCTGGTCACCCTGCCTTACTGCCCCCCTGGGCCTGAGTCACACTCTGGAGATCCAAAGTCAATGTGGGGATCAAGAACTATAGAACAGGACAGCTCAGCATTTCAAGAAGGGACAGCTAAGGGCCATGAGAGGGTGGGAACCCCTCAACCAGGGGGCAGAGGTCCTCTCCACAGGGCCCCCCCTTTCCCAAACCCTCCTGGTCCTCCATCCTGGCCAAGGATTTGCAACACGCTTTTTGCAAAAACATATCAACAGCCCCATTTGTAAAGCAGCAAAGAGAGGGGTGCTCTAAACTACTCACCTGCTGGCCCCAGAACCCTAAAAGCAGCCCCTGATCCTCAGATTTCAGAAACTGGGTGTGGCAACCACCGGGTGGAGCCATTCCCAGCTTCCAGCAGGGATTTTGAAGTCGCATACCATGGTCCGTGGGCCTTCCTGGCCGTGATGCGGTCCTTGGGTTTCATTCCATGATCATTAACACTTTAAGCTCCAATTAACCTTTAAGCCCTACCTGGAATTTCAGGAAAACATCCATCTTCCTCTGGCCCTGGCAGGTGGATCCCCCCTCCCAGCGCCGGTTTTCTCTCCTGTTAAGCGAGAGTTTCAACTATGTGACCTCCAAAGCCCCTTGTTTCTCTGCTTCTTTTCCTACAAAGGCGGCATAGCCCAGCTGCGGAGAGCGCGGACTCTGAGCAGGAGTCGGGGTGTCTGCTGCTCCCGCTCCTCGCCAGCTGTGTGGCTAGACAATTGCTCAACCAGCGCCTGGGCCCTCCTCTGCAATGGGGTGAAATTGCACCCGTGTCTCAGACTATTGCAAAGAGTGGGGGGGAGGGGCAGCGGCGTGGGCACACCGTGAGCAGCCATGTGAGCAGCCATAGCCCAAGAGGCATCTGCGTGGTGGGGGCTCGGCGGCCTCCCCCTGAGCCGAGAAGCAACGCTCGTGGCCTGCAACCGCCCCGGCTGGGGGCCCCCGAGGCCGGTGAGGGGGCAGTTCTGTTAGTTGCTGGGCCTGGGTGCTCCCACGCCAGGGCTTGGGGGATTGGCTGAAAGTCCCTCTGCCAACAGCCCCCCTGCCGGCCCAGAGGAGTCTCTGGGGTGCCTGGACCCTTTGAGAACCAGGCTCTGGGTGAGGGGGTCCGTCCAAACCGCTCATTCACCTGCCCGGTGACCAGGAAGGGAGGGGCTCACCGAGACCCCGCGCTCAGGCCACGGACTGGGGAGCAGAGCTTGGGGTGGGCACTGGGCTGGGAGCTCAGCCTGTCGGGAATTTCACAGGGGTCATTTAGGAGCTGTGGAGATGATGAGAAGGGGGACGGCCCTAAGAGTACGTGGGGGGAGCAGCGAGACCCATCAAAGATGGCGGCGGGCTGAGGGGGCGGAGCCTCTGGGAAGGACGGAGGCAGCCAGACGTGACCCACCAGCTGCGGGTGTAACGGTGCACACTTACTGCCTCCCCGACAGTAAAGGGGGGTAGCTCGGCCCCTGCTGACGTTTGGGGCCGCCCTGAGGGTCCCAGTCAGAGTGGTGTATTCCTGAGGCACAGAACCCCAATTAAAGAGCGAGTTAAAAGGTCTCGACTGGCGGTGAGGGCTGAGGAAGCAGCTTCTGCTCCAAGATGCTGAGCAGGTGAAGGGGGGTGAGGGGCCGGGAGCCATCCTGAGCTGAGCAGGTGAAGGGGGTGAGGGGCCCGGAGCCATCCTGAGCTGAGCAGG